GTAGTGTCTAAGGATCTTCAAGATGGAAAGGGCTTGCTATTACCCTGGCTAAATGTTTGTGCTTCAGTGAACATTCACGATGCCAGCAGGTTCCCAGTGTCTCTGGTGTGATTACAGCTGCAGCGGGGAGCTCACAGCTCCAAGCCCGCTGCCAGCGCAGCTAATGCTTGATGTGCTACGAAGAGCTGGAAACTCACTCCATTTCAACAGGCTTCACATAGCAGCCCGTGAGACAGCGAACCGCAGAAGCAGCTGCACTTGTGCTTTAATACTCCATTGGGGTCTGTTTCTCAGCACACAGAGACCCATAGGCATTGTCAGACAAGCTATTTTTCTAGAAAGGACCCAGGTTCTCCAACCAAAGAAGGAGACTTTATTGCCCTTGTGTGCAGGCAGGGAAATCTGTGGGGCTCCAGAATGCAGCCCTTCCTATTGCTATCTCCTCTCAGAGGAAGACCTGCCCCTACAACATGGCTTAACTAATTTCTTGTCAAATGCAGAATTTCCCCCCCCATGCATGCTCCTGCTGGTTTTGCAGTTGTATGTATATCCATATGTATATATATCCATGCCTTTTTGTAAATTTTGTAAATAATTCCAGGCAAGGAACACATACAAGAGACACAGCTCCTAGTGACACATACAAGAGACCCTTCCTCTTCTGAGTGTGAGGAGCCCCTGCAGCGAGCTCCTGCAGGGCAGGGCTGGATGGTGAAGAGGACAGTAGCAGATATGGAGAGAGAGGGTGGCTCAAGCTACCTGGGAGTCAGTGGGATTTTGGTCATGGTTTTCTTGGAAAATGCAGCCTACAACATGGTGGAAGCCCTGACTTCTGTAAGTCTTTGCTGGCCTAACAGTGTAGGGGATGAGTGGGTGCAGCTGAGACTCTCCAAAGTACCTGCAAGTCTTCAAACACCTTTTCTTCTTCCCTGTATTTTTTTCACAAGCAGAAGAGTAGGGTTCCTTGGTGCTCATAGAGAGGAGATGATAAAAGTGAGGCTAAAGGCCTTTAGCTCCAGCAGATCGTTAATAGTCTGCGAAATTACTGCAAAGTCAGCAGTGTTACTCTTCATAGAGCACAGAGTTTGCAAAAATACAGGGCTTTTTATGTAGGAGCACCCAAATGACTTGCCAGGTGTTTCAAAGGCAGGCAAGGAAGCTCCCCTGGTTTAGGTAAAATGCAAAAGTAGAGGAGTAGGAGGGAAGAGGTACAATACAACAGAGGATGTGATCACCTGGAAACTGTTCACACACTGCACATCTGGTGTTTCTGTACAGGCCTTTACTGAAAAATAAGAACTGGTATTCTGGGAGGGCAGATGCTACGACTCACCTGCAGCAGATAATAGCAGAAGGCATTATCTCATGATGGACTGACAAGTACCATCTGATGAATAATCTTTCTGATTTTCCTTCAAGAAGTGAATTCCTCCGAGTAAATGAAAACCTTTATTTTCCTCTTAGATATTGAGGAATATGCATTTTCCTTGATCTTTAGTTTCATTCTTCTTTGAACGCTATTTGAAAAGAAAAGTGGAATCCAGCACCATGTGTAGCAACGTGAAGCTCACCTTGCCCTGCTCCTGGGGAACTAGATGTTGCCCTAGTGATATCCATGGAAGCAGCAAACATTTGCTTTTTGGGGCATATTATACATGCATGTATTGTTGTACCCCACTCTCTCTTTCCGAACCCCATCTCTGACTAAACAGCAAAGTGGGAGATACTGTCTCTTCTGTTAAACACTGACCTTATGTCAGCAAATCCTGGATATGTTTATATTGCTGCTGTGGTGAGTTGACCTTGGCTGGCTGCCAGACACCCACCCAGCTGCTCTCTCACTACCCCTCCACAACAGGATGGGGAAGAAAATAAGATGAAAAGCTCATGGGTAGAGATAAAGACAGGGAGATCACTTACCAATTACTGTCACACGCTAACCAGACTTGACTTGGGAAAAATTATTTAATATATTTCCAATTAAAATAGAGTTGAATGGTGAGAAAGAAAGGCAAAAAACCTAAAACAGCTCCCCTCCCCGCCGCCTTTTTCCCAGGCCCAACTTCACTTCTTCCTTCTCAACTCCTCTACATCCTTCCAACCCACCTCCCCACTGAGCAGCACAGGGGGCATGGGGAATGGGGGTTGCAGTCAGTCCGTAATAGTTCCTCTCTGCTGCTTCTTCCTCCTCACACTTTTCCCTGCTCCAGCATGCGTCCTTTCCACAGGATAAACCTGATCCTGCGTGGGCTCCTCTCCAGGGAGCTCCTCTACAGCTCCTGCCAGGAGCCTGCTCCTGCAAGGGCTCTCCCTGGGCTGCAGCTTCCTTCAGGCCATGTCCACCTGCTCCGGCGTGAGGTCCTCCATGGGCTGCAGCGTGCATCTCTGCTCCACTGTGGTCCTCTCTGCAAGACACAGGGAAATCCTTGTTTCACCACGGTCTTCGCCAGGGGCTGTGGGGAACGCCTCCTCCCCCTCCTTCGTCTCTGACCCTGGTGCTCGCAGGGCTGTTTCTCACACTTTTTTCCTCACAGCAAGACAATGCTTTGCCCTTTCTTAAATACTTTTTCCCAGAGGTGCCTCCAGCTTGGCGGATGGTCCCAGCTGTGTCCTGTGGTGGGCCTGTTGGAGCCAGCTGGAACCGGCTGG